TTTTTTTTTTGTCTTAATAAATTACTTTCTTTTAATTAACCCTAGAAAGCCTGAATACAAAAACTGATTTATAAAAATGATACCATCTTAGGGTTAAAACTGTATTATTTAATTTTTTTCCCCATTTTGTCATTCGGTTACCTGCTATTAGCTTGATATATAAATTTATATATCATATCTTCCATTAACTTTACAAATTAGGTTAGAAAGAAAAAGAAAATTGAAACCAAACATTTAAAATCAATTAAATAAATTCCAAAGTGTGCCCATTGACAAATGTGGAAGAATTTTCAAGAACTGGATGAATAGAAAATTAATACAAATGCTGAACATTTTTTTTTATTAACATTTAAGAATGGGAACAGATATATATTATCAATTGACAAACTTCTATCATCTTCATTGTATTCACCTAAATTCTGCCTTTTACACTCTGAAATTTCCACCACTTCAATGTTGACGAACACAGCATATTTTCTGTACGACCTGGATAATTAAGGGGAGGCAATTCAAGCCTAACAAACTTTCTCGTGAACATCACATTACATTTTCTTTTCACATTGAGGGATCTCTAAAATTGAGTCTTTTTACAATTTCTCCTAAGTTGTTCGTATCATCAATTACAATGCAAAAGTTTTAATTATATCTGTTGTTTTCTCTCAAACTTAAAAAAAAAAAAAAAAATACTTTATCAACATCAGTTAAAAAAATGGTGTCATGTCTATTATTGATTGGTTTGGAATTATCAGGAGATTTACAAAGAATAAAATAACACATAAAAAAAAGGAGACGAACGATCATCTGATTTTATTTTCTCTCAACTTTACTTTTTAAAATGCAAATTAAAAACATCATTCATTTATGCTTTATTATTTGTTTAGTCTTTCTACTTGCCCTCGGAGATGGAGCTATTCAATACAGGGCTCTCCCCAAAAATAACATTATTTAAAAATGTGAATATCTGAGTAACTACGTGATCCAGGCAAACGAAATTAAATAGGCTTCATGCTGAACAATAAAAAGATTTATTTATCAAAATTCGAACAAGATATTCAAAGGAATATAGATTTTATAACCAATTTCACAAATCTTCACAAATGTTCAATATACACACCACCTGTGACATGTCAAGTGAGTAGTCCAGCTTCTGCCAAACACACTGTAGTGTTTGTTGCATAACATTCCCCAGCACCTCTCTGCTAAAGTTCCTCTAGGCTTGTAGGAAGAGGGGGAGATACAAATCTGTCCTTTTATATAGTCTCATAAAAATAAAAAACACAAGGTATCCAGTCAGGTGAATGTAGTCACCATTTCAAAAGCATGTTGCCATTATCACTGGCATACCCGAACCATCTTCCTGGTAGATCCTCATCGAGATACGTCTGCAGAGTCAAGTTAGTTCTTACAGATTCTGTTAAAATTTGAGATTATTTGAGCGAAAATTGGCTACGCTATTAGGCTACAAAATGATGTCAATTCTTGGGAGGACACCTGGTATTTAATTCCGCCAAGAAACCATTACACTGGAGATCTGAGGTTCTGTCTCGGGTGATAGGTTGACAATAATTGTAAGCTGTTTCAAGATAGAAGAGCATCAAGGTGACATGTCACAAAAAAGAAAAATACTTGCAAATGAAAAAGAAAAATTGAATAGAAGTATTAGGTTGGTGCAAAAATAATATCGTTTTTGACATTAAGTTGAACGTCAAAAACGACATTATTTTTGCACCAACCTAATAACTACTGTCTGAATTTCTAGAATGAGGAGGTTATTATTTCCACTATTTATTCAGACTATTGTCCTCATCTTTGTTGTTGTTATCACAACATTTCGGCCATTGTGACCTCTAGCCTTCATCAGGTGTGTTGATCTGGATAACCTACAAGGAATTCTGAATTAAACCCTTTATTTAATCTATGCAGGTAGAATGTACTCATTTGACTAGCCATGTCTAGAATATTGTCTAGTACTAGGGATATTTTTTAGTACTGCTCAGTTATTGCTTGACTTGTTTCCACTAAGTCGAAATTATCGCTGCCTGGGAAAATAGCCTGGCAGATAAAATCATTTAGCAGTATCTACGTGGACTTAGTGAATACAGGGCAACTTTGATCTGTAGAAGTATGTCTAGGCTGGTAGGTTGCCAGACCTATCTGGAGTTGGGTGAGTGAATTCAATTGTGTACTCATTTTTTACTAAAGTTTCCTCATGTTGATATTTGCTAAGTTTAATTCATGTCTGGAGGTGGGCATTGATTGATTTGTATTTTACAGCTTATCAACCCTTTTGCAGATTATTTAAAGCCAGAAAATAATTTTAGATTCTAAGAATTTTTTTGAGATAATAACGATTTACTGATACAAGTTTTACTAATTAATCCATAGCTGTGGGGAGATGAAATGAATTCATACCTTTCCAAGAGTATTTGTGTGTTAAGGGAATATGACGAGCCTGACTGGAGGTGGAACTTGGCCCTCCGATATCCAATTGAAAAACAGTATCCATTTCACCATTCGTATTTCCAAGTGGTCACCCATTTAGATACTGACCAGGGTTGATGTTGCTTAACTTTAGTGGTTGTACGAGAACTGGCATTTTGACATATGGCTGTAAACCTAGAGATGAGGAATTATCATATACTGATTATAATTTGAACTGTTATCCTCATCTTGGTTGTTACAATATTTTTGTCTTCTGAACTCTCCCGCCTACTACAGTTGTCTTTTGAACACAGTAACCTGAGAATTTCATACTGACCCCTTTATTCAACATAGAGGGGTAGATTGTTCGCATTTCACTGTTCATCAGGGGCTCGGTAGAAAACTTACAGCCATATCATGTTGATCTTGTCTGATCATTGGAAGTTAAGCCATGTTGAGCCTGATCAGTACTCAGATGACAGTTGGGGAATACCTGATGCTGTAAACTACATGACAGTCCTAACAAGCCAGTAATTGATACAATCTCATTATTTATAATCACAAAAACCTTATTATGTAGAAGTGCTTCCAGACTGATAGGTTATAAACCTACCTGGAGTTGGGTGAAAGAGTAGAAAAAGGTAAAGGAAAGCAAGAAGAAAGGACTACTGTATATACTTATATAAAGCAAGAAATATATGATAAAAATATAAAATGGGTCAATATTTTGTCGATTTTCATCAACTTTAAAATCTATGTGGGAATAAAAAAAAAAATTAAGCAAAATATTTGGAGTTATTGCTTTATAATGAAACATTGTTTTACTTAGACATTAGAAACATTTTTTTAGTACTAAGTCTTTATTTGTGTTTTCATTTCTCATATATAAAAAAAAAAATCTTTGCTTGCCCTCGGGGATGGAGCTATTCAATACAGGGCTCTCCCCAAAAATAACATCATTTAAAAATGATAAAAATTTAATTGCAGGTGATATTCTTTACTTAACTTTTGATCTTCAAGACTTGTATTCACACTGAAAAATTTCAGAAACTAGCACCATACTGTCCAGTGACAAGTGAATCCTTCACCCTGTTAATGTCAGCAGCAGTTTGAGAGGCATTATAATCAAGCTTGAATATCTGTCTATATTTCTGAAATGAGGTATTTACATTATTCGGACTATTGTCCTCATCTTTGTCGCCATATTTATTACAATGTTTTGGCCATTGTACGCTACACAGATGCAGAGATCTACAACTCATCCCTTCAGGCTTGGCACCAAGACTTCCCATCAATTCAAGGAGAGACTGTCTGGTCATAGAAAAAGCGGGACATGCCCTTATCCAAGAGAGAATCCAGTACAATCATTGGATAAAACAGACTACAAGCTCATATCTCCCAGAGGCTAGAAGATTTCTTTAACAGAATTACCAATGAAGATCAGAAAAGGATCCAAAATGACCTGGATAAATCCTTCAGACATGAATCTGATGTAGTCTAGGCTCGCCAAGTTCAAAAATTAAACAGATTGAAAGATCAGAAGGTGACGCACAAGGTCCATCACCCACCAGTGAAAGCAGTAGTGAACATCAACCAATTTCAGCTGAGTGCCTCTGAGGAGTCAGTAATGAATAAGGGTCTCAACTTCGCCACAACCATCAGGCGGGTGCCATACTTGAACATCATTGCCAGAATCGAGGAGGTGGTCTTGAACTTCCCTCAAACTCAGGTGGATGAACCGAGATGGAAGGTGAGAGACTTTGGAGAAGGCCAAGCTGCCCAGATCAAACATCACGAAACTGGAAAAGCTGGCGATCGGATCCCTACAGAGGAACGAAAACATCATCATACTACCGGCTGACAAAGGCAATGCAACTGTAGTGATGGACAAATTAGATTATACAAGAAAGCTGGAAGACCTCATTAGCAATGGTAGCTACAGCAAAATAAAAGGCAATGAAAACGGAATGCAAATTGTCACAGATACTAAAAAAGGAGGCCGAAGCATACAAAAGCTGAAACGTATGGCCACAAAGATGAGGACAATGGACTGAATAATGTATCAAACTTGAACTCATGTAAAAAAGAAAGTAAATGCATTTCTTTTTTTAATTTTTAAGATGTGGGTTATATAATGTTTTAAGTTAAATTCTGAAAGAGATTGCTAAAATCAACAGAGGACACTTAAATAATTAAGAATGAGTCATATATTTTTGTGCAATTAATATAATCCTGTGAGAACACAAATGGTTTAGTCTAAAATTGGATATTATTTTCCAATCTAATAGAATAGATTTTAAAAAAATAAAATAAAAATACTTTGCATTATAGAAAAAATCTTTTATTTCCTTTTTGTATAAAGATTTTATCTTTCATTTTCATATAATTTTGTTCATCCATATATTAGTGAGTGACCTATGAAAAGGTCAGATTACACCCAAACTGCATATAGATATGCAAATATTCCATAATAGCTACTCCAGTAGGAGTTTCAGAAAGAAAAAAAAAATGGCTCTTGTATATATGTGTTTATTTGTATTTGGTGATTTTTTTTTTCCTTTTAGTGCCAATGGATCATTTTATTTGTTGGCTATATTGTTGATTGTGCGAGAAATAATATCAATGCATTGAGCCATCTCCGACTCAGAAATGACCAGCGGAGGAGCAAAACGGATTATGTCACCATGGGTGGGTTTGGCAAGGAGGCCTTCGTCTCTCAGTTGCAAGCAGACATTCCATGCATCATATTCTGGGGGAAAAAAAAAATGAAAATGATAAATAGCAAATATATATATTGTGCGTATTTAGGCAGCATTTTTTCATTCATACATGTTTCATTAAATAATATAGACAAGTGTTATCTATTTATTTTATGTAAAGTCTTTTCATAACGTCTGATAAGATTAATAACATTAAACAAAGAAAGAAAATCACAATATTGATCCATATTTTTTAATTCAATCTAAGCTTTCAGCTTACATAAGCCATTATCAAAGATGACAATTACAGTACAATATATTAAGCGATATACTTGTCTATATTATTTAATGAAACATGTATGAATGAAAAAAAAAAAAAATGCTGCCTAAATACACACAATTTAAATTACATGATCCAGCAGACTCACAATAATATCAATACTTGGAATTATAAATGTAGCCTTGTGAAAAGCCAAATTGAAATAGCCAGTCTGTATATTGCTTAATATATTGTACAGTAATCGTCATCTTTGATAATGGCTTATGTAGGTCGAAAGCTTAGATTGGATTAAAAAATATGTGTGATTTTCTTTCTTCGTTTAATGTTAATGTTATTAAGCTTATCAGACGTTATGAAAAGCATTTACATAAAATAAATAGACAACACTTGTCTATATTATTTAATGAAACACACACACATATATATATATATATATATATATATATATATAATATTACATGTTTTAACAGTTTGTGACTGGAAGGGATAATTCTGAGGAGGATATAAATCCAGGGAGAGCTCAATGTAGACTACAGAGCATAATAATCATAATAAGATGGAGACTTTAATTATCTATTTCATGAACACCAAGGTGTTCATCTCATCAGAATGAAAACCTGCTCCGCAAATGGAGAAAGTACACTGGACGGGCACTTTTAACTTGGTAAGTGGGGAGGTAAGGTGAGAGTGAGGGGTCGAGTAAAGATAGAGCTGAGAGATTAGTGGTCAGTTTCCTCAACCAAGAATTTACTCTACACTTTTTAGATTTTAATATTAGTTTGTATCTTACTTTGCATGATATCATGTGTTGTTTTTATGCAGGATAAATCGGATCGATTCAAATTAATTTAATTAAATGGATCTTATATCTAAATAAAATTCTGGTGTTACTATGGTAAAACTTAAGCATTTGTTTTTTGGCCAAAGTCTTATAGTCAGTGGAGACATTTAGAGAAGGAATGGAAGGGTTAGGGAAGAGGAGTTTGAGAAGGGGGGAAAGGCAGAGTAGTAGTAGCTTTAGTAACCTGCCCTACTTAGATATTACTTAGTTCCAAAAATTAAATAGTATCTATGTAAACAGGTTTATACTGTAGGTTGATTGGTATGAAGTGTTCATTCGTAAAAATAATTAGAAATGACAATAAAATATAGGTGAATACAGTAAATGACTTTGGAGAATTAATAGAAATTCAAAAACAAATACCAAACTTAGCTATGGATTATGGAAAGACTGATGGTCAGTGGAGAGATTGAGTTGAGGGGGATACAGAGTGAGTGGGAGGCTTGGAGAAGACGACGGTGAGAAGGAAAAGATGGGGTAGTGGTAGTTTAGCAGCATGAACTGCCAAGATATTTCTTAACTTTTGGAACTATGTAAATGGCTTTATACAGTGAGTTGATGGTTCGGAGTAGACACTGGTACAATTAATAATTAGAAATCACTATAATACAGTCAAATACAGTAGGTAGATGCAGAAAATAACTTTAGAGAATTAAGAGGCGAATAGACATTCAAAAACAAGTACCAAACTTAAGGAAAAAGCTATGGATTATGGAAAATGTTATGAACTGTGTTCGGAAACATGGGTAAGGTGTACCTCGGCAATTTGAACTATTTGTAATAAGCAGACATGTTAGGTTTAAGGCTTCAAGTTCACTACAGCAAATTGTCCTATGAGACAATAGTGGTTTGTGAATTTGGTGATATAGTGAGTGAATGTCAAACTTTTCAAGTTTGTGAATTTGCTGCCATAGTGATTGTGGGTTCAATCCCTTGGTTGGGTAGTGTACGCTCTTAGACTCAGTGGAAATAGGGAAGCAATAAACCGAGCAGTACTATAAATAAGTAGAAGACGATATCTCTAAACATGGGCACTGGAACGAAAACAGTCTGTCCCTGCAGATTAAATAAAGGATTCAGTTCAGAATTCCCTGTAGGTTACCCAGATGAGATGGGCACAACAGCTGAAAACGTTGTCATAGCAACAACAAAGATGAGGACAACAGTCAGAATATAGATGGCATAAATAATAACTCTTCATCCCATAAATTCAGACAGAAATTAGTGAATATATAGCTCAGCAATTTCTATCTCAATTTGTTGTTATCACTATTTGTCTGATTCGAGAATTATTTTGCTAGGTAATGTCCTAGTTTTATATTTCCTTTCAGCCTGATGTTTCCTCCAGCAGAGGTGCATCCGCCTTTTTCCACTAACCTTTCTGCTCTCATTCAACTGACCAATGTTTTGTTTTGATGCTTTTAACAACAAAGATGAGGACAATAGTCTACATGTAGATATAGTTCAGCAGTATTAAAATTCATATCTGGAACATTCGTCATAAAAATTTATGCCATAGGAAAACTCGCCTCAGGAATTTTCGCCGTAGGAAACTTTGCCATAAGACAATTTCGCCACATTTTTTTTTTTTCAATACCCTATCTTGAACGTTCCTTTTGGACTAATGTTCAATTTAATATGTGAAGTACCTTCTTATCAAGTATATATGGATGTCTTTTTTACAGGGTCAAACATCAGAAAAGAAATTAAAAAGTAAACATTTATTTAAAAAATAAAAAGACTAAAAATATATCAAATTAAAGAAATAATTTAAAATGTGTGCAAATTCCAAACAATGCTTCATAAATAATGTGCGTTGGAATGTAATGAAGCATTTTCTGCTGAAGTCTTGCATTGATATTAATATATATATATATATATATATATATATATATATATATATATATATATATATATATATATCCTTCATTTGCACTGCATCTCCTTTGATCTAAATCACACTATTTTTGATAATGTCTCTTCCTTTTTCAAATACACAATTACTTTCCACAAATTTGGGTGCATGTTAGTATAACTTTGCTTATTAAAATGTTTAAATCAAAGTAACAATAGTGTGAGCCAGATATACTTCATAACAAAGTACTTTGCATATTAAAAAAAAAAAAAAAAAAAAAAAAAGTGGCGAAATTGTCTTACAGCAACAATCCTATACTACAAATTTTTCTATGGTCAAAATTCCTGAGGAGAGCTTTCCTACAGCAAAAATATTTACAGCAAATGTTCCTAGAACCATTAAAATTAAGTAAAAATAAACAGATATAGACATGACTGGGTAAGAATGGTGATTTACTAGGAACTGTACAAGTATCTTGAATTTGACCATACAGATCAGCTGTATAAGCACAAAATTTTCCCAGAATACAGAGAAAAAAAAATGACAACTTGTGAAGTCTAATTTCTTGAAAAGCTGCTTTAAGAAAATGATTTTAAAACTTTCAACTGATAGCGCACTATTTGGTCAAGGCATGTGAAATGTTTCCAATATGGAAATGGATCATTTAAAGTTAAATGAAATTCAGTTGTGAGTTAAAGAAAATACAATATATTCTCATTAAAGAGAAACAAAAAAACATTAACAATGAAAACAAAACTATAATGTTTGTGGTAAAGTTTAACAAACATAACAGTGTGTCAAAAGAAAAGTTTGATTGTACATGTCCTCAGCAAATTTTATTGTTTTTAAAATGTTATTTTTTAGAATTTTAATAAAACCCAAACATATCAAATTGAATCTGTACTGTAATCTTGTCTCTCAACTTCTTTTAGTGAAATTATGTGTGTATGTGGGTGGGGGTAGGGATGAAAGAAATGCCTGGAAAATGCATTTTCCAAATTTATAATTTACTGTTACTTGTCATTATGTCTATATGTAAATTTTCCTTTTCTCATAGACATTTTTATAAATTTATGAATAAAAAAAAGTTTGTTTTCATAGTAATTTCTTTATACAATGGTAAATAAATATTGCATTGTAGTTGGCTCACATATTTTTATAATCTTGTAAATATAAATTTTATTCTTTTTTAAATTAAACTACTCTAATAGTGTTTAACATTTTTGTAGTCTGAGAAAAAGAATGCATAAATCCAGCTTCAGATATTTGGCTTTTATTTATCTATATATAAAATTCAGTGACTTCTGCTAGTTCGTCCATCACATGCCTCTAAAATAGCATTACATTGACTGATCAAAACCAAATTGTGCAAACCGGTAAGGGGGGGACACAGTACAGTTGGTTTTACTAGGGTGTATAGTTTAGTAAAATAAATTTTCATTAACATTTTGGAAAAATTAAAAATTTTATTATTTATCATATAAAATACTCCCACTATTTTAAAAACAATTTAATGATTAAAAGTAACAAATACTTATTTAATACAAATGCAATATTGTTTTTTTTTTGCATATCTTAAGTTATATATATATATATATATATATATATTACACAAACAAGAATCCAGTTTCCAGTTCATCCTGCATTTGTGAGAACTATAAACATATCACAAGGCCAAATTCTTCAAAAAGTTGGAATTTGGCTCTAGAAAGAAATATTTGTATATTTCCAGTTGTGTGTTTCATGCTCAAGAGTAAGAAATCCTAAGAATTTATTCTTCACTGTTAAAAATGAAAAAAAATAAATTTAAAAAAATATTGTTTACTATAAAGTCCTATAAGATTAGATTAAAGAAATTATTAAATCAAAGTAGCATTTTTGTCAAAGAATTTTTCCAAACAATTGGCTTATTCAAATTTGATCAATTGGTTTGCAAAATTGAATGAAATGTACAGTTTGTAAACCTTGACAAAAAAAAAACAAAAAAAAACAAAAAACACTTTAGCAATACCTTCAACAATAATGTGGGGATTTTAAATGTTGCAAAAAAAATTTTAGTTTATTAAAATTCTAAAAATAGCTCTTTAAAACAATAAAAAATTGCAGTGTGAAGTAAAAAACCATCTTTTTGAGACATCACTGAGCGATGCAAGTATGTTTGTTAAACTCTGCCAGGTTTGTTTTTTGCCTCTCAGGAACTTGATTGCAGAAATGAAATCATACATACGAGGATCAATAACAATAGCATTGAGCAGTCCTTTTCCTCTAACCAATTTCACCACAGATTTTGGAAGCTTAGAAAGTTCATTTCGAAGATGTTTTCCATGTTTTTCTGCCTTTTCAATCAGATGTTCCTCTTTAATGACATCCAAAGCTGCTACGGACACTCGACAGGCCAGAGGGTTTCCACCAAATGTTGACCCATGTTCCCCAGGCTTGATAGTCAGCATCACTTCATCATCAGCCAAAATGGCTGACACCTAAAAAATAAATGTAAATATTACAGATCTTGTCAGCTATTTTAGTTTAAAATGGTACAATTCAGGAAAAAAATATACAAAAAAAAACAAAATCATTGGTAATGACCAAATTGAAATAAATGATTATAAATATTCCAGGTCACATGACAAGACATTGCAGAGGTAATCCACATATCCTATAATTGTTGTAAGGCATTTGAAATACATGGATATGGGAATCAATAAGATATTTGGGTATCTCATGATTTAACAGAAAAAGAAAAAAAATGATTTAATGGAGTACATTTCTATCTGTGCTTGAACAAAACAAAAACAATCCATTTTTTAAAAGAATGTTCACAGCTGATGAAAAATGGATTGTTTACATCAATGTGGAGGGGAAAAATCTCCTGGGGAAAATAAAATGAGCCACAGTTAACCATTCAAAAAGCGGGTCTGCATCAGAAGGTGATGCTGTGTATCTGGTAGGATTGAAAAGGTATTGTATATTATGGGTTTGGGCACTTCAACATAGTGTAATGGTTAGCAAGCTTGTCTTGCTAGATTTGTAATGCCTGAGTAGTGAGTTTGGGCCTCACCGGCTACCTCATACTTTCAGCCTTGTGTCACATCTAATCTACCTGTCCTGAGTATGATGATAAACTACGTCCAACAGCAAGGTCTCTGATCAGGAGGTTTTGAGGAGCGTGGAACCACCTCTTAATTCCTGGTGTTCCCAGGTCCACCCTAACCTGTTAGGGTCCCAGCTATGGACAAATAGTTAACACCCCAACTTGTGTAAAAAATAGGTTTTAATAGCAGAAATATTTTGTAATAAAAAAAAAAAAAAAAAAATATTACCAACAATAATTTTTGAAGGAAATTATCTACCAAGTGAGAAATTTAAAAAAAACTTTAGGAAAATAAAACCATCCAAGATTGTAAATTTCCTAAAAGTTGGATTGTACTAAAAAATATAAGTAATTGAAAAATGGTTCAAATATATATGTATACATACACACCTCTTTTACCAAATTATCGCTATGAATCTATTTAAAAAATTTTGATGGCATTAAGTGACCCACTGAGGTTGATATGCCATAAAACAAAACAACCAATCTAATCTACACTTAGAAAAATCACCATTGTGTATTATGTGCTCCTTCCACAATGTCATATGTTGAATTCAGACAAGAACAATGCCTAAATGGATCAATTACAGTTAGCTATTGAAGAAAAGCGTCCCAAATTCGCCAATCGGAAGGGTGTTGTCTTCCATGAGGACAATGCCACATCTTTTTGCAGACATGGCAGAAATGGTTACAGCTTAGCTGGGATGTCATACTACACCCACTTTATGCATCTATCCTTGCACCTTCAGATTGTAACTTATTTCAATCCTTACAAAATTCTCTTCAATTCTCTGGAAGCCTGCAAAACCCATTGAGACCTGTTCATAGCCCAGAAAGATGCCAAATTCTGGGAGGATGAAATCATGAAGCTCCCTCAAAGATGACAAAAGGTAGTGGAACAAAATGGCACATATGTGGTTGAATAAATCTATGCACAAATATCTGAATATTGTCTTTGAAATTCACCTAAAAAATTCTATAGACTTTTGTTCCAACCCAATATTTTCATGGTCAAAATCATGTAGTACTTAGAGCATACGACCAGATTATGTGCTTTGATTGTTATGTATAACATTGATGTGTTCTTTTGAATATATTACAAATGATTCAACTGTTAAATGACAAAGTTGCAGCCTTTGCAATGCTAAATTATTTGAGGAGTTGCTGCAAACTTTTCAACTTGACCAAGAAGAGATTCAAAACAAAAATTTTTGTGTTTGGACAGATTTGGGGAAGTTGGTCAAACTGAAAACTTTTATGCACCTAACTCACATAACCTGTTATCAAGTGGTAAAAGTAAACAGTTTATGAACTTACAGGTAAGACACCTCCAGATAAGGCTTTTCCCAAAATGACAATGTCTGGTCTCGCATTTTCATGGTCAACAGCTAACATCCTGAAAGAATTAATATCACAAAATCTCATTAAGTAAATGTTTATTTCGAGAATTTTATTAAAAATATATTCCATGTCAAATAGCTTAAGCATTGATTGAGCATCATAATTACTCATATATATTATATATATAGTAATTATTTTGAAAACACGGTTGCCAATTTTTTTTTTTACCCATTAGTTTATATATATATATATATATATATATATATATATATATATATAGTAATTGAGGCATGGTGGAATAATGGATAGTGGCTCGGATTGAGGAATCGGAGAGCCAAATTCGAATTACAGCTGAATCCATTACATTCACTTACGTGCTAATACCCTTGGTAAAGGGTATGAATCCTCTGCCTCTCCCTCCAGCTATGGGTAAAATAGCAGGACAGACTGGGTTCTATAGTCTTGGATGGCAACTGGTCTAGGAGAAGGACAACTCTGAATTCAAAACCTGCGGAGGGTCGTTTGGGAACCTTGTGGCATTCGGTGCACCAGGTCTCTGTATTCGTCCCTTCAAAATGTGTTGACGGTCCTGCACGAGGCCTTCACCACTATAATCAAATCTCGTGCCGGTGTTGGTCTGTCGGTTTCCTGGAAACTGATCCTCATACGTCGAATCTTGACGGAGAGTCGATTATATAGTAATTATTTAAAAAAAATATGGTTGCAATTTTTTTTTTTTTTTACCCATTTATAAAATGCTAATTATATATATATATATATATATATATATATATATATATATATATGTGTGTGTGTGTGAAAGGGAGCGCTGCAAAGTTTTTGATCTAACCTACTTTCCAAAAGCTGACCATTTGTGGAAGGGTCAATGATTTTTCAGTACCCCCTTGTATATACATATCTATGCCTTAAAGACAACAAAATAGATATAAATGTAATTTGTATATAAACATTAAAATTGAAGCCACCATTTAACTTACTTCCCAGTCCTGGCAAGTCCAGTTTGGACTTCATCGGCAATCCATAAAACATTATATTTGTCACAGAGTTTCCGGATTCCAGTTAAGTATCCCTCATCTGGCACAACCACACCCGCCTCACCTTGAATAGGCTCCACCATAAAGGCACATGTATTAGGGTCTTTGAGTTGTTCCTGATGATCAACAAAAGACATTAAGAAATCAAACATTACATAATCCCAACATTGTATTGGAGTGTTCCGTTATAATAGCAAAAAATACAGATTCAGGTTTAAAAATAGAAAGAGATTAATAACTGTGATTAAAACTTAAATATTAAAACAAAAGGAAAGAACTTCACTGGAAAGTGATAATAATATCAAAAACAAAAAATAAAAACAGCATAATCAGTTTGTTGTTCCCTTCTCATCAGTGAGCAATCGAGAAAGAGAAATCAACACCACCAGAGACTGGATGTTACATAATAAATATATAAACATCAAAGTCTTAATATACATAAACCTATCAGTTTCTTTTGCTTACAGAAGGGTTGCTGGAAGGACTTAATGTAAATTGACTAAAACTTTAAGATGAAAATCCAGAATGAACCATCCCCAGTACTAAGAATATGCATTGATTATAGGACCAAGCATATTGATAGTTACTTAATAAATACTAAGCAATTCACACCGCTATGTAAATTTCCTAAATTAACTTTGCAAATATTAGCTTTTATTTATTTACTTTTTGATATTACCACTTTATGATAATGTAAAGTTTTTTATGTTATATTTTCCTGTTGTTTTAATGTCCGTTTTAATTCCAGATGTTAAATACTGTATACCTTTTAAAATATTTATAAAGAAATTATAATAAATCATTGATTACATTGTATTGTAAAATGCCTTTTCCACAGTTTGATTTTTATATCATGCAACGAACATGACTGGTATGAACATTAGTTTTACAAGATAGCTCAAGTTTTATTTTTAAGACCTGCAAGATATTTTGTGAGACAGTTAAAAAAAAAAAAAAAAAAAAAATTAAAATGGGTTGTCATCAGTGTCAATTGTACGATTTGGGATTGCTACACCCCCCCCCCATTTTGGCTGGCCCCTTGGTTGGCCTCCCAACTTTTCTAAGTTTCAAAGAGGAAAAAAAAAACCAAAAAAAAAAAAAAAAAAAAAAAAAAAAAAACACAACAGAATAGACAAATTACACTGTTCTGCTAGTATTGATGTTAGTATTTAACCCTTTTGATTTTGTTTTGAAGTTAACCTCTCTTGTGGTCCAACAGCTTGAGAATGGAAAAGAGGGCAAGAATAGATTAGAACTGTACTACTATGAATGAAAAGTTATTCCGTTTAATTTAGTGAAGTAACATACTTATACTAAGACTCATTCCTAAGTTGTGTATACGATAGTGGGGTAGTATGAAAATAAATAAAGACGTTGCTTGAATTTGTACCCCCTCCTCCACAGAAAAATCTCATCCCCCTCCACACACACACTTTCAGAGTTCTGGTTGTCATATCATCAGATATGGTCCTTATCAAACTTTACATAAATGCAACAGAGTCAGAAACATGTTTTATCATACTATACCTTAACAGTGGACATGCAGATGGATATCAACACATAAAGTGGAACTGGCAAGCCAATTGCAAATTCTGGACCTAACCTGTTGCATTCATCTTCACACAAATGCCCTTGGGGGAAAAAGCCACAAACTCATCTCTTCTCCCTCTGCTTATGAATTAGTCTAAGAAAAGGAAAAACCCTGAATTTCAAACCGTGGAGAGGGCAACAAGAAACTATAACTACTATATTTCCTAAGAAGTTATGGCAACTCACAGATAAAGTAAGAGGAAACTGGGGAGAGCCATGGTTGCCTATATTGTGAAGGGACATTGCATTAAAAAAAAAAATTCCTTACAATTAATATTCAAGAACATGTAGCAACTTGGAAGATAGAAACAATGAAACCGGCTCTGTTGGAGCTTGGGTAAATTTTGGTACAAACCTCAAGTGCAGCTAGATCATTGTAAGGGACAATCGAGAATCCAGGCATGTAGGGTCCGTATCCAGCATAGCTACTGGGGTCTGTGGATGAAGAAACAGCAGCCAGAGTACGTCCCCAGAAGTTACCATCAGCAAATATTATCTTGGCTTTGTCAGTGGGAATCTTCTTCACTTGGTAGCCCCACTTACGGGCAAGTTTGCAAGCAGTCTCACCACCTTCTACGCCTACAAGTCAAATGAAATTTTGATGATCTTTTAAAGTAATACATCTGTATAAACATTAAGTCATTTTAAAAATAACATTTTTGGAGACTTAAGAAAAAAAAAGTACAACTAAACAAATTTATTATAGAATACAATTATTATTATTATGAAGATCTACTGGGAAACTGATTGTTACATTATTATTAGAATATGGGACTGTCAATGAAAAATCTGTTTGACATCCAAACTAATGTTCTATTCATGAAAGTTCTAAGCGAGCAGGTGGTGGAACATGAATAGTTTTGCCTATTCACATTTGAACTCATCTTTGTTGTTACCACCAATAGAGATAATTGAAACAAAGATGAGGACATTAGTCCGAATGTAAATAATGATAACACCTTATCTCAAAAATTCAGGGCTTATAGCCATATGTTGAAACACAGGTTCTTGTTCAATCATTGAATTTAAGCAATGTCAAGCTTGGTCAGTACCTAGATGGGTAACCACTTGGTGCTATAAGCTTGGATGTGCAGGTGGTGTAATTGGAAATCAAAGAGATGAATTCCAATTGAGTTCATTATATTCATTTATGTTTTGTTTTCTGTGTTTTGGTTTTCCGGCATATCAACCTCAATGGGTTATTTAATGCCGACAATTTTTATTGTTGGTAATATTTTTTCTTCAAAAATTCCATTTCTGGTAATAATTTTCTTTCAAATATGTATCACTGGTAATATTTTTCTTTTTTCAAAAATATAATTGCTGGCAACATTTGGTTTTTATAAAATGCATTGCTGGCAACATTTGGTTTTTAAAAATGTATTGATGGTAATAATTTTTTTACAAAGAATTTCTGGTATTAAAACCCATTTTTACACTTTCATAGTTTTTTGACCCCAGTAACAATTCCATTGAATAAGGTTTTGTTAAAAAACGTATGGCTGGTAATATTTTATCAAAAACGTATGGCTGGTAATATTTTATCAAAAACGTATGGCTGGTAATATTTTATCAAAAACGTATGGCTGGTAATATTTTATCAAAAACGTATGGCTGGTAATATCATTTTTCAAAAAAGCACTGCTGGCAACATTATTCTTTCGAAAACGTATAACTGGTAATACTATTTTTCAAAAAACGTATAGCCGGCAACCTTATTTTTTTGAAAACAGCCTTTCTGTTGGACATAGTTTATCACCATACCCAGTATATGGATGTAGTTTATCACCATACCCAGGGTGCTATATTCATTTACGTACAAATACCCTTTGGGAAAGGTTTCGTTTGTTTTAGGGCATATCAACCTCAATGGGTTACTTAATGCCAACAAAATTTTTATTACTGGTAATATTTTTCTTCAAAAATCTATTTCTGGCAATATTTTTCCTTGAAGAAATCTATAGCTGGTCATATTTTTTCCAAAGAATGGATAGCTGTTTGTATTGCTGGTATTTTTTTTTAAAGTATTGCTGATATTTTTTCCTTAAAAAATTATTGCAAAGTATTTCTGGTATTAAAACCTATTTTTACACAAGTTTGGGTGTTAACTATTTACCCATAGCTGGGACCCTAACAGGTGCTACCACCCTGGGTCAGGCTAGACCTGGGAACACAATCAATTAAGAGGTGGTTCCATGCTCCTGAAAACTTCCTGATCAGAGGCCTTGCTGTTGGACGTAGTTTATTGTCTTACCCAAGACGTGGATGTAGTTTATCATCATACCCAGGATGGTCTTTGGGAAAAGTATGAATCCACCTCTTCTCACCCCAGCTATGAGTTAATTAGTAGAACTTGTATCAGTAAATCATTATCTAAAAAAAAAAAAAAAAAAAAAAAATCTTACAATCTATGAATATTTTTTGACTTTAACTAAAAAAAACCCAGAAATTCAGACAGAATTATATAGTATGCAATTCATGCCAAAATATAATAAATGGCTTGAATTTAATATCAGTAAGAAATATTTGTCCCAAGAGGAGTTGATCTGTGGTGACCCCAGTAAGTACTGGGATCACCCTAAGACATACCAAAGTAGACTTTGCACTCAGTTATACACAAGAGAATCAAAGGAGCCAGGTGCATCAGAAGGTTGACCAAAAAGATGATATCATAACCAGCTGGTGCAAATTCCTATCTCACAGTAGTTGCTCTAGACAGGTAAATGGTTGGTTGATCCAGCTGCATTTGGAATATGCACATGTGGGACAACCAGTTGACAGGAAGATATGTAAGCATCCCAGCCAAGAGGAAAAAAAAAACCAGTCTTTTTCACATCCCCATGAGAAGAAGATTCACATTTGGAGAAAGTCACAAAACCCAGATGCTGATATTAACAGATAAAATCTGGAGTTGAATAAACAATTTTACATATAAAAGATTTAATTTTGTGTTCTTATTGGTCTTGAAAACAAGAACGTTGAATTCACAATACAACAAAACATTCACTGCAAATCTTTGTCAAGAAAGCAAAATGAGAAAAAGATTTTTGTCATCAAATTGTTTCCAGTTTGTAACCAATTTTATTTTGTTGGCAAAAAAAAAAAAAAAAAAAAAAAAAAAAAAGAATAAATTAAGACTACTATCAATATTAGGTAGAGTGACAATACAAGTTTATGCACAGTAAAATTAAATCTGATCCAATTCTCAGGTTGGGCTATTTTACTGCATCTTACTTTAGCCACCTTAATATTAAAATTTCTACTTACTACCTCATGGGTGTACACAGAAACCATAGACACAAAATCATTAATGGATCTATGGGTAACAAATTAACCTGAGTAAATTTTTTTTTTTTTTTTTTTTTTAGAAGTGTAACTGCAGGTGCAGTTTCTACAAAATTGAATATAGATTTTGGGCTGTATTCCAATTAAAAATAAATCTCATTAGCTGCTTTAAATCCTCAAATTTTGAGGGTATGTTATTTGGGAGCATTGGTATATGACAAGGAGAATGGATGGATATGTTAATACAAGACTTAATCATTATCTTCTGTCCTCTTATTGTTCTTGCTCAATAATATCACACTGAGTAACCTAGTGTATGTTAGTGGCTTTATGGCCTTGTTCGGGGTTAAATGATTTAAAAGAAAAAAAAAAAAAGAAAAAAAAAAGAAAAACAAAAAGAAAAAAAACAAAAAGAAAAAAAAAAAAAAAAAAAAAAAAAAAAAAAAAAAAAAGAAAAAAAAAAAAAAGAAAAAAAAAGAAAAAAAAAAGAAAAAAAAAAGAAAAAAAAAAAAAAAAAAAAAAAAAAAAAAAAAAAAAAAAAAAAAAAAAAGAAAAAAAAAATTACACAAGGTTTATCATCTATATAATATGGCAATTGTCTATAACTATAGAGTTATCTCTCTTATATTAGCTATACCAAGGGTTTTTGTCAGAACAATGGCAGACATGTTCTAAAATATGTATGACTCTGGGAGTGAAAAACTAATTCCATGAAGAGTAAAGTACAAATATATTTAAAATGTCATTTTTTTTTTTTTTTATAAATAAACTATTTACACTATTCAAACTATTGTCCTCAACTTTGTCACCATATTTATTACAATGTTCCAGCCGTTATACGCTCCGGCCTTCTTCAGGTGGTTGGAATTTTGAACTGAACCCATTATTTTGTTCACTGGGGTAGAATGTTCTAGTTCCATGTGCCATGTCTAATGTCAGTTATCAGTTAGCTCCTGTTAATTTCCCTCTCCAAGTTCTCCACTGCCTTAACTGGGTATTGAACTCACACTCTTTGGGTTCTGTCACTGGATCTAACCCATGCAAATCTAACCAAAAAGATAACCGACATCCATTAGACACGGCATGTGGAAGTAGAACAGTCTATCCCAGTGAGTGAAATAAAGGGTTCAGTCTGACATTCCAACCACCTGAAGAAGGCCGGAGTGTACAACGGCCGAAATGTTGTAATAAATATGGCAACAAAGATGAGGACAATAGTCTGAATAATGTAAATAGTGTACATAATACCTCATCTCAGAAATATAGATAGATAGCATAGGTAAGCTAGTCACATAATGATACATTTCAGAACAGGGCTGGATTATGACATTTTGGGGACCCTCTGCTAATGAAATTGAGCAACCATCTAACTGGACCACACCAGTGTTGAATATTTAAAAAAAATTTATTTTTTTATTTTTTTATTTTTTTACTCAGGATATATTTTAGTGACATTTACATAGCTTAAAGTAAACTTATTGCAAATTCTTTTAAATTCTAGAATATCTACCTTTTGTTTGTCAATAAAAATATTTGGCAAACATTGATAAATATGTCTGCAATAAGGTGATGTGTCAAAAGGACATTTTTATCCCCATGACACTGCTTTTTGAACTACCTTCATTCTTTGGCAATGTTCATTGTTTTAAAAAGTGATAATTAAAATTGGAATAAAATGTAAACATATGATGAAAGTGAATTTATACATTTTCTTTGTTCTTGAGAATTTACAACAAAAATAATAAACACTTTCGAGTGTTTATTTACACTATTTATTTATTTTATTATATTATTTATTGGAATGGTTGGCAAAATGTCAGCTAATTGCCAATTGATTCAAATTTTATAAAATGGTAAATAAGGATTTTCTTATAGTTGGTTCACATATTTTAATAATTTAGTACATGTTTATAGCTTTATGAATAAAAATTGTTTTCATATTTATTTCTTTATAAATATTGGTAAATATTGCATAGCATTAGGATGTAAATATAAAATTATTCCTGTAAATAATCTAATAAATAGTGTTTTATATTTTTGTTGTCAATTCTCAAGAACAACAACAAAAAAAAAAAAAAAATGTATAGATTCAATTTCATCATGTGTTTAAGTTTTATTCCAATTCTAATCATCGCTTTTTACAACAAGCATTGCCAAAAAGTGAAGGTAGTTAAAAATGCGATGTCATGGGAAAAAATGTCCTTTTGACGTGTCATCTTATTGTGGGTACGTTTATTCATGTTTGCCAAATATTCTTTAAGAAATACTATTATTTTACTATTTATTGCAAAGCAAATTAGCATGTATTTCAACACAACTATAGTAAAAAAAAAAAAAAAAAAAAAAAAAGAAAAAGAAAAAATTTATAACCTGTATTATAACTAAATTTGAGGGCCCCAGGGCTGCAGCCTATACAAACATATAGGATAATCTAACCCTAGTTGGGAACTACATCCTCAGCAGTGGGTAGGGGAAAAAGAAAATAGTAGGCCAAGGAGAAAGATAATACTTTTAAGGAAAATTAAAATAGTTGGTTATTTTCACAAGGTCAGTTTGAATACAGACTCAAAGACAATAAGTAATTTTTGTTAAAAAATGGGGAGAGAGAAGTTAGCTTGTTTACTTTATATCAGAAATTAAAAAAATAAGTCATTATATGCATTAAAGTGGGCATTAAAAACAAAAGTAGAGCCTAAGGAGTGAATTAATAAGGATTCATTTAAGGTTATTTGAGAGAAATAAGAGATCTCCAAAAGTATACTTTCGTGGTAATTGCTCCGAGGAGCTGCATTCGCTGGTTCCCTGACTTCATGAGTTCAAGCGCCCGACGAGGCTGGCATCCTGCTCTCATCCCTTCACTGTCGAAACTCCTAAATGTAGCAGTCTTCTCCTCCAATAGCTTCATGTCTCGCACCTCTCGCCTGTGGAAATCCCTTCCCTATTCCAGTTTCCCTGATAGCTTTAATCTCCAACTATTCAAATGTAATGTCAATCGACATCTCCAGTTGCCTTGATCTATCCACTACCCTTCTCCTCATCCTTTCTTATATGACTCCTATTTGATCTTGCTCTAAATCTTCTGTAGCCCCTTGCATCCTAGTGGCTTCCCACCTTGCTTGGGGTGAAGCACTTTAAAAAAAAAGTAAAAACAGTTTCATCTAAGATTGGAGATAACTTTATACTAGAAAAAAATAAAAAGGCCGACAAAACACCAGAAAAGACAAAAACAAATTCTGAGAGAGAGTGAGTGAGAGTGTGAGAGAGAGAGGAGAGAGAGAGAGTGGAGAGTGAGAGAGAGTGAGAGAGAGAGAGAGTGTGAGAGAGAGAGAGAGAGAGTGTGAGAGAGAGAGAGAGAGTGTGAGAGAGAGAGAGAGTGGGGAGAGAGGAGGTAAGAGAGAGAGAGTGTAGAGAGAGTGGTAGAGAGAGAGAGAGAGAGAGAGAGAGGTGTAAGAGAGAGAGAGAGTGAGAGAGAGAGAGAGAGAGAGAGGAGAGAGTAAGAGAGAGAGGAGGAGAGAGAGTGAGGAGAGAGAGAGGGGAGAGAGAGAGAGAGGAGGAGAGAGAGAGAGAGGAGAGAGAGAGGAGAGAGAGAGAGAGAGAGAGAGGAGAGAGGAGAGAGAGAGAGAGAGAGAGTGGAGAGAGAGAGAGAGAGAGAGTGAGAGAGAGAGAGAGAGAGTGAGGAGAGAGAGAGGAGAGAGAGGAGAGAGAGAGAGAGGTGAGTGAGAGAGAGAGAGTGTGAGTGAGAGAAACAGTATATTTTTTAATATTATGAGGATATGTAGGATAGATAGCAGTTGACCCAAGACTTGAAGATGTTAAAATTGTAGTGAGCAGGGAAGAATCCATTCAAGAGTTTGTTCTACAAAGTAATAGTTCTGAGGAAGAAGCTGTCTTCATGGTTGTAGGGAGGAAAATAATTAATCACCCACAAGGCTTTTCAGCTGTCCAGGCAGTTCTGATCCAGATATAGCAGCAATTTTTTGGTTTGATGTGATTCTTGTAAAGAGAGTATGGTGTGCTCTATCTTTACAAGAGTAAATGATTATTTAGCCTAAAATAGTTTCAACCATCAAATATGCTACACACCCAGCAGAACAAAAGTACTATCACCAGGATGGAGATATCAAATCATTGAAATTTCAGCTGGAGTCTTACAGGGAGACACACTGGCTTGATTTCTGTTCTTCATTGCCATTGAGTATGCAGTGTTACTGGTAATTGAAGATGAGAAAACAACTGGGCTCCCCTAAAAGAAAGCAGGAGATATAGAGGCTACACTGAAATCACCATTATAGACAAAGATTTGGCAGATGATCTTGATCTGAAGATGGCTCAAAAGCGTAGATCAAGGAACAGAATAATAAAAAAATATATAAAAATATTGGACAATTTTTGTCTTTATTTTCTCCTGAAATTAAAGCAATCATACAAAGTTTAGAACAGATCATGATCAAACATAATAGACATTCATTGTCTGTTATATTTAACAGTGTGTGTGTGTGTGTGTGTGTGTGTGTGTGTGATAAAACTATAGTTTAAAGGAACAAAATATATATATATATATATATATATATATATATATATATATATATATATATATATATATATAGTTTATGCAAATTTAGGTAATCCGTATGGGTAGACCTGAGGAGGATGATATCCAGAGAGCTCAATGTAAAATTCAGAGCAGATATGTTTGAATAAAAGACAGACCACGTTAAGATTCCATGTAATAAGCTATTTCACCATAACCCCTTTAACAGGGTTCTGGATCATCAGACTTTACTTCCAAAAGCTGAAATGAAAAATGAGAAGAAATTCACATGTTTTTTACGAACCTCATCAAGTATACGCAAAGTTAACGAAGTGAGGTGGGAGAGAGGATATGAGTGTGTCATATGTATCATTTTAGTTTCCTATTTTAACCCCAGTGTGTCAGCTGGATGTTGCTCAAATTTAACGCGTCTCGTCTCTAGATAAAGGTGGTTAAGGGGTGAGCGATAAGAACTACCTTAAAGGGAGATATATATATATATGGGTACCTTGAGGTGGTGTAATGGTTAGCGAGCTTGTCTCGCTAGAACAATTACAACAAGGAGTAGTGAGTTCGATCCTCACTGGATGCCCCTTACTTTCGGCCTTGTGCCACATTCAAGCTACGCTTGGAAAATCACTATATATATATATATATATATATATATATATATGACTCATTATTTATATTAAAAATAATTAAGTTGAATTAAATCAATCATTTGAAGTATTGATATTTAATATAAATTCCCATTGTGACACTATTTAGCTATGCTATTTAGCTAACTAATAAAGCGTGGAAATTAAAAGCGAGAAATACTTAAGGCGAGAAGAAGCTATTATGAAAGACATACTGAGCGATGTTATTTTTTTTTTTTAACAAAAGAAAAGTGGGTAAAGATTTTATTTTCATTTGCGAAGAAAAGTATTTTTTTCGCAGAAGATAGAAAATTCGTAAGATCTCGGATCTGTCAGAATTAATTTATGTCATGACGCGGCGAGGAACAGCAGAGTGCGAATAAAAGATAGCAATCTGCCCATGGCAATAATGAAAATTTCAAATTGGTCAAGAGGCTTACAAAGCGGAATGCTGGAAGATAATTGGATCAAGCATGCGACTGAGAAAGAATTAACTGAGACCACCCCAAAGAAAAAGGAAGGAAGAAGAGAAAAAGGAAAAGAATAAGCCATTGACTATCTTTCGGAGATATTATTTGGTTTTGGAAGGGAGCCACCCGTTTTATCTCCAGAACTGGTCATGACAAAAGTTTGTTACCTAGACAGACTGTTGGCGACAGAGTGCGAAAATGTTGAGGAAGATTCAGTCGACCACCCAGATAATAACTTGGCGGAAATCCCGTTGATGAATCCCAGATGACATCAAGTTAAGATAGAGATTTAATGACCGCAGTACGATTCATGAGGGTTCTAGTTGGTGGAAAAGAAAGAAAAGAAAAAGGAAGATAATTTTTCTTTGAGCAACAATTGTAAACTGAGACCAGTCTAGCCACACCCACACTGCCGAGCGTTCATTGGCTGAATGGTGGCGTGAGCGATGGGTGAAGGTAAACATATGAGAAAGAACGGAAACCTGTTGATGCCCTCTGAGGGGATTGATGTGAGATACCAATATGAGAAAGGAAGAATTTGGGAGGACAATTCCCTTAAGAACCCCTCTAAAACAGAAAGTAATTGACTTCCAAAAATGGGAAGTGATAAATTTTCCTGTCCGAAAACAAAGAAAATCCTTATTGCAGATTTGGAATTATCGAGGAACCCAAACCACGACAGGCCCCCACCTGGTTTTGGTTGGTGTCCATATAAACGAACGTCCCCAGAGCAAAAAAAGCAGTTAGGCAGACAGACGCAGACACAGTTGGTGGCAGTTGGCGACAGTTGGAGTCGCCGAGTTGAGCTGTGAGCTCGGAGACCATCCTTGCAGGAGCTGACTGAAAGATTTCCACACATTCTGACTCAGACTTATAACCAAAAACAATTTTTTTTGTTTTTTGAAGAAAAACTTAGACTCACACCACCAAAACAAGTTTTATGAATATCGCCTGAAGATACTAAAAACCAATTTATTGAAAAACAACTTAAGATATTAAGACCCGCCTAAGAAACGCAAAGTGTCACGTATCCATAGAAGCGGTTTGGGAGAAAGACGCAGTCCTGTATTCAGAAACCAGATATAAAGATACTTATTATTCTTTTTAACACATTCGAATTGTACTTTATTTTCTTTTATATATACTTGTGCGGTGTCACCTTTGCTCCGAATTTGGCTTGCACTACGGCCCAACGCCTGATTGATTTCATCTACCTAAGATCAAATCACAACGTGGGTAGGTTAGACTAGAAATCAAAGCAGTTACTTTGGTAACCAGACGTTGGAGGCAAGCTGAGAATGACAAAGCTGATGCCGAATCTAACCAGATTTCCATCCGAATCAGCCAAGGGTTAGATCGTCACAGGATAGCATGGGAGAGACCAGGGTGACGTCACACCATCCTAAAATTTAATAATTTGTCTTTTATTCATTATTCTATTTCTCAAAAATTCTATTTCTTAAAACTACGGCAATGACTGCTTTTAAATTGGACCAATGGTTGAATTGTCAATTTCACATGAAGCATTCGACAATTTTTATTTTATGTGTGGCATTCAATGGTAAGGGTTATTCCTATTCTAACTGATCAGAAAAAAAAGTGTTTATCCTTTTTTAATGGTAAGGGTTATTCCTATTCTAACTGATCAGAAAAAAAAGTGTTTATCCTTTTTCAATGGTAAGGGTTATTCCTATTCTAACTGATCAGAAAAAAAAGTGTTTATCCTTTTTTAATGGTAAGGGTTATTCCTATTCTAACTGATCAGAAAAAAAAGTGTTTATCCTTTTTTAATGGTAAGGGTTTTTCCTTTTCTATCCTATTCTAACTGATCAGAAAAAAAAGTGTTTATCCTTTTCAGAAAAAAAAGTGTTTATCCTTTTTTTAATGGTAAGGTTATTATTTCCTATTCTAACTGATCATTCTAACTGAAAAAAAAAAAGTGTTTATCCTTTTTTAATGGTAAGGGTTATTCCTATTCTAACTGATCAGAAAAAAAAGTGTTTATCCTTTTTCAGTGAACAAAGTATGATGTAAAATTGCCTACTGGTATTCCAGAGACAGAAAGTAAGCAGAATAAGAAACTTCCAGAATTATCAGGAATTCAAAAGCCATCATCATATATCTTCTATGAATGAAAAGGCAAAGTGCTTTCAGGTTGATAAACCCAACAAGCTACACTGACCAAAGCAATTCTACATGTGAAGGGAAATAACTCAAGATCCTACTACTATGAACTCTCTACTTGAACTATAAAAAGAAATAATAATCAGCAAAATAATAATAGCCATTGATCAGCAAAATCATTGATGACACAAGATAAATGGCCATTGAACATTCTTCTAATAATAATCCTTATATTTTCTTTCCTTTCTCTTATTCTTTATTTGTTGTTTCCTTCTCTTCTCTCATTCCATGCTTTTATATATTAAAATAACTTTACATTTCATATTTGTTTGATATGTTGTCTGTCTTAGTATTGGTTCCAGAGTAGAAAATCCCTTTTCGGTTTAAGTGAACCGCATTCATTGCGATATGTTTGAAGTTTGTTGAAAGATAAAATTTGTCACAATATACATATAATAAATACGGCTTTTAAGCATTCCTCGAATTCACTTTACTTCCATGTGGAAGATTATGAATATCAAAGAATAGACTTGATTACTTCCCAACAAAAATATTGATAAAAATTGTGATATGTACAGAAGAGGGTCAACTTAGAGACTCCATCCAAATGTTTATCAGATTCAAAATATATTTTTGCTATGAAGTTTCCTGGCTTAAATAACAAACAAAACCAATGTACAATAATAACTATCTCAGGAATTCTGCCATACAAAGTACGATTAAAGTAATAAGATAAAAAAAAAAAAAAGAAAAAAAAGGAAAATTACTCACCTGTATTCATTGGAAGGACTTTGTCATAGCTAAATGTTTCGCACATGTATTTTTCATACTCTCCAAGAACATTGTTGTAGAATGCCCGAGAAGTCAAAGTTAAAATATCTGCCTGGTCTTTAAGGGCTTTGATTATTTTGGGATGGCAATGACCTTGGTTTACAGCACTGTAAGCACTCAGAAAGTCAAAGTATTTGTTACCCTCAACATCCCATACATAGATACCTGGGGAGAAAAAAAAAAAAAAAAAAAAAAAAAATGAAAAGTTAAAAATAACACTCCAAAATTTTTTTTAACACCCCATTGGTACCGTGGAGCAATACTAATGGAGTGTGTGGTTTTCAAACACCCTATTGAAAAAAAAAAAAAAAAAAAAAAATTAGTTCTTAATTTCCTTGTTATATATCATAGCGTTCCTTCTGGTTTTTATAGGACATAAAAAAAAAAAAAAAAAAAAAAAATGGTTTTATTTTCGAAAACTGAATTAAAAGATACTTTTTAAAATTTTTTTGCTCCTTAATGTTTTTCTTATATTTTTATTATACAAAACATCTATATGCAACTCAATGCTATTTTCACATATCAAAAAAAAAAGAAAAGAAAAAAAAAAGGAAGTTTCAAAAGTTGAAATTTGCAAAAATTATATTTTTATTTTCTGTAAACAAATAAAACTGCTTGTAGTTCATACAAAAAATTATGACTAAAACCAGAAACTCCTTGCAGTTACTTGACAGAGGAATTCAGAAAACAACTTGACCAGTCATGAAAATTTGACTTGCTGCTTCCTAAATATTAACATAAAACAATGGGGTGGCTGGACACTCCACAATACTAACAGAGAATTTAATGATTTTAGTTTGTAATTCAGATGATAAACTTGACAAGGTTAGCAGATAAATAAGTTGTGAATTCAACAAAAAGTACAATCTTTTTTGGCTATGGTTCCAATTTAATTGCCATCAACAATGAATATGAAAAATAAAACTTCAAACAAATGCATAGATAATGATACATTCATACAATCTCAATTAATGAACACTGGTGGCTTTTAACAATAAAAAAAAAAAAAAAATACTTAAATCTAGGATTTTACAAAGAAGCCTGTTTGTAATTCTTATAGTAAAAGGGTCCTTCTATTTTTGGTTTAAAAGAAAAAAAATATATATGATATATATATATATATATATATATATATATATATATATATATATATATATATAAATAAAAGCAGTGACATTTTATGTAGAGATCTGGTTATGGTGTTCTGACCAGGAACTTAGTTGGTGAATTATGTCAGTCTTTGGGCAGCCGGATGTTTACAAAAATGCAAACACATGAAACTGACATTTCACAATGGTTTCAAAATGTATATATAAAATTGTCAGCATACAGTTTCATCACACACACACATATATATATATACAAGAAATATACTCTTAAGGTGCGCTATATTTATGGGATAAAGTGCTCAATATCAGAGATAAAAGCGTGTGTAAATATAAAAAGTGAACATTGAAGTCAACACTAAGAGGTGACAGGCTGTTTTTGTGCTAGACGCAATCGTCAAGCCACCTGACAATTGCATCTAGCATGAAACAGCCTGTCGCCTCTAAGTGTTGACTTCAATGTTCACTTATATATATATATATATATATATAAATAACAGACAGGTTAATGAAATTCGAAGAATAAAAAGACAACAAAATGATAACAATATTGGCAATAAGACTGATGATATTCATTCTATATTTTGACTAAATTGATGCATGGCAAGAAAGATCTTTAAGTTTTAATTTTCAGACACGTGTTCTTTTTCAAGGATAAAATTACAACTAGCACCAAGAAAATCCAATCAAAGGTTGACTAGACATTTGGGGTTGGGGCGTGTTAGGGTTATGTTTTGGTATGCAAGTGGGCAACTATCCTAAAATCTTTGGGAACCGCTACTGTAGTGTAATGGTTAACAAAGGTTAAGTCATGTAGCATAATTCTTAATACTCTCAAGTTCCGAGCAGAAGGGATGGTTGGAATGAATTGGTAGGTTGGAAAATTTACTCAAAGTTAATTTGTTTTTGAAAAAAAAAAAAAAAATAAAAAAAAGGTTAGAACAGTTGAACAAAAGTGGAAAATAAAATAAACAAGTATTTTGGAAAAAAAAAAAAAAATAAATAAACATCCAAATTTAAATAGCCATTCAGGCCTATCTATTCCAGGCATGAGTGGTGTCCTTGTGCCAGATTCATATGAGCGGATACTGATTTTTCTAAGTTGAGAATATCAAAATTATTCCTGATCTATAAAAGTTTTTTTTTCTCTTCTAGACATGTATAAAAAGAAAATAGAATGATCTTCAAAAAATTTAAATTCAATTTTTATCTTCTGTCCTCTTAAAATTCTATTTTTTAAAAATTGTTTTTGCTCATTAATAATGTTTTTGTTATATTCTTATACAAAACATCTATATGCTACTCAATGTTATTTTCAACATTATCTTATCTTACTTATTATAAAACGCAGATTGTGTGTGTGTGTGTCCGTACGTTTATATATTGGATCGGATTTCCTACATTTTTCAACCGATTTCAACAAAACTTCACAGGACTATGTAAAATTACCTTGCGGTGGTTCTGACAGCGCCAAAAATAGGGAAAATAGACAATTGTTTTTCCACGAAATCAATTTGTAAACACGATTAAGAGGCATTAATGAAAGGGGGACAACTCATATCGAGTTATACTTATTATAAAACCCAGGTGGTTTGTGTGTGTGTGTGTGTGTGTGTGTGTGTGTTCGTTTATATATGGGATCGGATTTCCTACATTTTTCAACCGATTTCAACAAAATTTCACTTTTTTTTGGCAGGTAGTGTTTCTTATTGTCTTACACACTTTTTTCTTTATTTTTACATTCAGAATGCTTTAAAAATTCCATTTACAAGACAATTGTTTATAATAAAATTCTATTCAATCGGAAGACTCATAACGATTGAAAACAATGTTTTTGTTTGAGTTTGGGTTTGACCAATTCGTAAAAAAAAAAATAAAAAAATAAAACTAATTAAGACATGGATGTCCGTCAACCTTAAACAATCTTTGTCAATTTTATTTTTCAGTCTTTATGATGGTCGATACTTGATCTATCTCTTACTGTTGCATCCCTGGGCAACGCCGGGCTCTACTGCTAGTTTTGAATAAACAAAGTGAGTGATGTGAGGGATTAAATAATAATAAAAACAAACACAACAAAAACAAAAAAACAAAACAAAAACAAGACACAAAAACAAGACACAAAAACAAACGAAAAGAAACAAAAACAAACAAGGAAAAAAATTCTATTGGTCAAACTGAAAACTACCTCAACAATTTGTCCATTAATTTTCAGTATTTTTCCAGCAGTCACAAACAAACAAGTTGAACATGACATTTTCCCAACACACAAGGTTTTATTATTTTTGATATCTGATTAAATGATTTATCTCTAAACAACAGTATGGGATCAAATTTTAACCTCATTATGATTGGCTGGAAAAGATATTTTTTGTCCTTGAATGACAATATTCAATACAGAGGCTAAAAAGATTAATCATTACCAAAGACATTTTGTTCTTTCAAAGAGATTTCAGTTTGCCATTTCAGAAAGCAGTTATGTGTGTCATAGCTCAACATTTTTTTTTTAATAGTTGCATAGTATCTTTTTTTTTTTTTTTTAAATTCTAAATTTGATTCGACTTTAAGAAATCTCTTCATATTGATACTTTTTCCGACTCAAAGATCTCCCTTATGTCATGTAGTAGGAAGAAATTTGTGGATATTGTATTTAGCCAATGGATGTTCAGATGGTATAATGGTCAGTGGCACAGAAAGTAAAATTAACAAGCCAAGTTCAAATCCCAGTTGATTCTGTTTTGTTCACTTTGCACTAATGCCCTTGGAAAAAGGAATGAATTCCTCTTCATCCAGCTATGGGTTAAATAACAGGATAGACTGGGCTCTCTTGCCTTGCATGGTAACCAGTCTAGGAGAAGGAAAACAGAATTCAAAACCAGCTCAATTAGACTATCTTGCCCTAGTCACATTGTTGCTGCTATGGATGCAGTACATATGGTGCCACTATGACTAATGGGTTATGGAAATCATGACGTATTTACATACATGCCAAAATGAAACTTAATAAAAAAACAATTTAAGGATTAAGAAACTTTACATTTTTAATAGATTCTCAAATCTAAGTTTTGTAGACAAGATATAACAATTGTTTTATAATCACCACATAGTAGAAAAAAGGCGTAAAATATCTTTTGAAAGGAAAAAAAGAGGTAAAAAGAGAAAGAAAGAAGAGGTAAAAAGAGAAAGAAAGAAGAGGTAAAAAGAGAAAGAAAGAAGAGGTAAAAAGAAAGAGAGAGAAAGAAGAGGTAAAAAGAAAGAGAGAGAAAGAAGAGGTAAAAAGAAAGAGAGAGAAAGAAGAGGGGGAAAAGAAAGAGAGAGAAAGAAGAGGGGGAAAAGAAAGAAGATGTAAAAAGGAAAAAGAAAGAAGATGTAAAAGGGAAAAAGAAAGAAGATGGGGAAAAGAAAAGAAAAAGAAGATGGGGAAAAGAAAGAAGAGAAAAAGAAAAGGGGTAAAAAGGAAAAAGAAAGAAGATGTAAAAAGGAAAAAGAAAGAAGATGTAAAAAGGAAAAAGAAAGAAGATGTAAAAAGGAAAAAGAAAGAAGATGTAAAAAGGAAAAAGAAAGAAGATGTAAAAAGGAAAAAGAAAGAAGATGTAAAAAGGAAAAAGAAAGAAGATGTAAAAAGGAAAAAGAAAAGAAAGATGTAAAAAAGAGAAAAAGAAAGAAGATGTAAAAAAAAAAGAAAAATGAAAAAGAAAA